CTTATTCTGTTGATGATGTTGGTGTCGCAATTTGTTGTTCTTACTCTGCTAGTTTATTTGTTTGTCACTTTAATATCAAAGTAATGGATGATCTTGATGTTGATTTTTTATTGGATGGTTGTGTTATATCTTTTCTCTTCTTATTATTATTAAATTTCATTTTTAAATTTTAGAAGCACTAATTTATCTTTAAGGAGATTTGATATTTTACCTGCTTTTTATTTTAGAATTAGTAATTTGTCAATAATTTAAACTTAAAATCTTATAATAACTTTGCATATCTTTTATTTTACTAGGTAAAACTTTCAACTTATATCTACAATTATTGGCTTATCGTTTATGTTGTCGGTATCTACTTTTTAAAAACCACAATTAAAAGTTGTTCGTTTTTTTTTACCAAAATGAATATGAAAAAAAAAAACTTAAAATAAATTATATCATGTGACAATTATATAGTTTTTAATTTGTTTGATGATATTATACAGTGGGTTTGACAGAGAAATGAAAACAATTAATATCTCAAGAAGCTTTTTTATATAAAAAGTGAAGTTCAACTCATACATCCTTAGTCTTGAGTATCAATGTCCAAGAAATCAATCACTATCATTATGATTAATGCATAAAGATGATAAGACAGAGTTGAAATCTATGCTTTTTAGTAATGGCTTGTAAGAACAAGTTGAAATGAGTCTGTGAAAGCTTGCAAGAACTAATGGCTTCAATATTCGGTTCATGAATTAATTCTTTTGATAGAAAGAGATTAATATGTTTGGAAAGATCTTTATAGCATATTCCACTAAGAAGACATTTTTAGAGTTATATTAGAAAGATATCTGATTAGGAAGATATTTTTAAAGTTATAAAATTTCAAATATGGAATTCACATTAATTAGAAGAGATATGTTCTTCAACTTTTGCATAAATTAGTTTGATTGGTTCTAAATCTGTTAAAAAAAAATTTGATTCTTCTATCAAATTTCAAGATAATCAAGGTCAACATTTTTCTAATGTTGCTAGTTACAAGTGGTTAGTTGAGAGACTTGTGCATCTCACCATTATTAAGGCAAATATTGTCTATTATGTCCAACACTTAAGTTAATTAATGTCCAATCCTTTTGATACTCGTTACAAGGCTACTCTTAAATTTCTTCCTTATCTTACCAAAAAGGATCGCATGCTTAAGGCACATTCTTCTCCACTTCTTTTGAACTCATATATTATCAAATTTTGTTGATCTGAATTGAGCCTGTTGTTCGCATAGCAAACAATATTTTGTTGATTTTTTATGTCTTCCTTGATTTTTCCTTTATCTTTTATAAGTTAAATAAGAAAACTATTATTTCTTATTCTTCATTTGAAGTTGAATATTGATGTTGTAATAAAAAAACACAAGAAGAGAGGATTGAATTGTATTTTAATTATTTTTAAAAACTTTTTTCTGAATATCTTCTATTAATGATAACTTTGTATGACAAACAAACAGTTAGTTGCTTATGTGTTTGATGGAGTGCAATAGATGAAACATTATACATTAACTAATTTACTTTAACCGTAGAGCATTATGGTAATCAATTGAAATATACTTAGCTCATAATTTATGGTAAGAAAATTTAAGAAGATTCACTTACTTTCGACTTTTTCTTAGTCCAACTTGTTAATGTTTTCATTAAACCTGTTCATCAAATTCCTTTTTGGCATTTTTGCTATCAAGTTGGAACTTTGTGATCTTCACTACCCAACTTGAAAGGAGGCATTGATATATTCTTTTATCAAGTTTTTTGTTATGGTTTTTAACACATAGAATTGTTATTATTATAGTTAGTTTCTTTAGCGCTTGCATCATTCTCCTAGATAATTAGCTACACAGTTTTATATAACTTTGTTATTTTATTTGTGTACACATAATGTTTTCTTGATTCAATATAACGAGAATTCTCTTAAAATATAAATACTAAAACCAACCATCATACGCAAAGGAATTGATTTTTTTGATATGATAAGTCCTTTGGTTGATCATTGAAAATTATGCCTGAAAATTTATACACAATTGATTATGTATTTTATCATAATTAATCATGATTCCTACATAATTGTAGCGATGATAAAGCAAACTAAGTTTGATGGGTTAACTCACCACAATTTGATAGATTGTGTTAGAAAAGTGATACCTTATATCTCAACCAAGAGGGGGAGTGAATTGGTTAGCCCTTTAAAAAATAATCCTTTCAAAAACTTGATGAGTTCTTTGTGTTTCTTAACATCAATAAAACAAATATGATGAATCAACAATAAAAGAGAAAGGAGAGAAAGATCAACACAACGATATATACTGGTTCAGCCAAGCTTACATCCAGTCTTTCTTCAACAACTTTAATCGAAGGGATTTCACTATAATGATTGAGTTACAAGAATAAAGAGATATACCATCTTAATGTACTTCTCATCCCACTCAAAAATCACTTATAGTAACAAGATGTGAACACCCTCACAATCTTACCAAAAAAAGAGAATAGTATCAGCTCTTCAAACACCTTGAAAGCAATCCCAACTCTCAAGAACAACACCACGGTTCTCTCCTCTTGGCAAACCTGTACAGAAACACAATTCACTTGCAAATGTTAAACTGATCTTCACAGTAGTACACCAACAGTGCATAATTGATCAGAGCACTTTAGCTTAGATTTTTTGAAAGAATCTTGATGATAAACCCAAATTTGATCTTTGATTCTTCAAGACTGTTCTTAGACTCTCCTAGAATCAATACTCAATCAAAATATTAGTTATGTAATATGCAATCTGTTTAAACTTACGATTCATTTACACACAATGAATGTATATACTAGCATCTCAAGCACAAACACAAAAAGGATAAATAAATTGTTATGTCATTTGTTGTGCAAAAAATTATAAAACATTCTTTTGTTCATCATTAAAAACATAAATATATGAGGTGAGTATACCTATCAACATATTGGATAAATAATTTTAATCTATTAGTTTGTTTTGAGTTCTTAATTTACCTAAGAATTCAAAACTAAAATGAATTGAACTTATTCACAAACGTTTTTAAATTAAAATAAAAAATAACTTAAAATAATAAGTCTTTATGTTATATTATATTATTTAGATTACAAAACTTGCAACTTAAATAATTAATACTTATAAATTAAATTTAAATTATTAATTATAATGAAGTAATTTATATTTTATGATTAAGAGTGTTTTTAATATATATATATATATATATATATATATATATATATATATATATATATATATATATATATATATATATATATATATATATATATATATATATATATATATATATATATATATATATATGGGTTTACTAACGCGCGTACGTCTGTTTTACAATTGGTACATTTTAGCAATGTGTACCGGGTTTTAGTAGACAAAAATACCCTATATATCATAGATTCTAAGTTTTAAGGTTAAAAAATCAAATTGAAAAAATCAAAAACACTTGCCGTTAAACGATTTATTTTTGTAAAAGAGTTAAGTCATTGACATATTCACCTTGAGGCAAAGGTTCATTAAGGCCAATTACCAATTCCTTCAAATGTCATTATGCTTGTGAAAATTAGATAAAATTATATACGACAAAAATTATAAAATGAAAACTCATTATAAAATTATTTTTTGTAAGAAATTGTTTAAGAGTGAGTATTTCTTTTCCAGGTCAATTACCAATTCCTTTATGTTTGTGAAAATTGGATAAAATTAGATAAGACAGAAAATTATAAAATGAAAACTCATTATAAAATCATTTTTTGTAAAATTGTTTAACAGTCAATGTTTCTGATTTTTTTTAGTTGGAGCTACTATAGGATGACAAAGAAAATGTTAGAGTGAGAGAGATAAAAAAGAAAGGGTTGAGAGGAATGAGAGAAGTGAGCAAGGGTTTGGAGTTTGTTGTTTTTTAGTTTTTAGAATGAAAATTATTAAAATACATTTAACCTTAAAACTTAGAATCCATGATATAAAAGGATATTTTTGTCTACTAATATCCGATACACATTGCTAAAATGTACCAACTAAAAAAATAAACGTACGCGCGTGAGTAATATCAAGCAATTTGTTTATAATTAGAAAAAATTGCAAACTGTAGAACATATTTTACTTTGATATCTACATTCTATATAGAACGTTTAAAATATTGTCTCAGTAATTGTATCATGTATTTATGTAAAATACACTGCTAAGTTAATTGTACCATGTATTTATGTAAAATACACTACTAAGTTAATTGTACCATGTATATACACAAGTTAAATTATAAAAGAATTCCAGCCAGTAATTATATTTATAACCCAAGCAATGGATTTCAACAAATAAAATACTATAATGATTTTGTTAATTAGGACATAAGTATGGAAAAAACACTTGCTGAAGCCTAAATAATATAAAAATTTGATAAAACAAATTATGAATTTGGGTTAACTAGTAAACTTTTATATTTATATTCCAAATGAGTGTACCAACAGCATAGTATTATAATTTTTAATACCGATTTATTGAAATTAAAATCAATTACTTAAACATCTCATCATTAAGTTCAATCCCATGAACACCACATATAAAGGACCCGCACTTTTTTATTTGAACAAAAATTTAAGTCCAAATTCATAAGTTTAATCAGAATTATAGTTTTAATTTAATAAATTACTGTATTAAAGTTAATGTACATCATAAAATATTTTATTACACAACAATATTAATAAAACAAGTAGAAGTGCACTACACCTAACTAATAATTTAATAAATTAAATTTCACTTTTTAAATATTTTTAATGTTGTTTTATATTTTAATTTCAATTTTAATTTTAATTCATTTTTATTAAATTAACACAAAAAGTATTTTAATTTATTACTACCTTATCAATTTAATTATTTTATCCTCTCATATTAACTAAATGATTGATAAACTTTTTTATATTTATTGAGAGGTGATGCCGGTCAGTGTGGTTCATAAAGCTTTCTCACTAAGCTTCCTTGTTTCTCTTTCTTTCTTTCTGGGTCTTTTCATACAGTGGAGAAACTTGTTGGGTTCTATCAGCTTTCACTTTCCCAGGCTCTGATCCAAAGAAAAATCTCAACTTTCTTCAGCAATTCATCTCTACCACTTCTGGGTAGTGCTTATTTTTCCCAAACTCAGTAAAGCAGGACATGGCTGTGAGTTCTTCCACCTTCTCTCTGCTCTTTCACTTTTTCTTGTATTGCGTGTTCCTTGCCGCTGACAAAATTTGAGGAAAAGGGTAGGGAATCAAAGTTTCAATCTCTTGCATTATGTTGTAATCTTTTGTTCAAGTGCAGTTCCTTCTTATTGTTATTTGTACTGTGCATACCTTCATGTTCTGAAGCTCTGATGGTTGGCCAACATTTTGATTTTGTTTTTTCTGGTTTGCTGTCCCTTTGCATCCTGCTGATTGGATCATGAGACAGTTCATGTTAACAAATGATTTTAGTTTATGGTGGAAACTAGCTTCATGAATCAGGTTTATTAAAATTTTAGCTTAGCCTTATGAAATGAATTCTTTTCTAAATATATTAGGTATGCATACTTGTATGTGCACTAATACTAGTGTTATTGGAAAAACAAAAATACTTACTCTTAAATGTGGTTTTTGGTTGAATTAGCATAGACAAAGCAACTAGATCTGCCATTTGTAGATTGAAATAAACAAAACCAAATTTTCTTTCTATTTTTTGGATCTACTTATTTTTTTTCTAAACCAAACTGTTTGGTTTAAATTACGAATCAAAATTCAAGAACCAGACCAAACAAGGATGCTTATTATATTTAAATACAATGATATATGTCTAGAGTTAATTAACAACAGACAAACATACACGAGTATGTCTCTTGATGATTGTTTTAGGGACAAACATACATGAGTATGTCTCTTTATGATTGTTTTATGGTTTGATTGTATTTTATTTACAATTTACAATATATTTATATTTATAAAAACAAGATAACAAATTTGTATTGTAATTTTTAACTATAAAATTATGTAACTTGTAAATATGAAGGAAAGTTGACATTATCAATGTAACAACCGTCATACAAAAATAATTCACAAGTCTCTCTGTTTGACAATTTTCATTATGAAATGTTTAACAATTTTTTTGTGAAAAATGTTTTAACTATTTTATAGTGACAAAACCAATCCAAAACAAACTGCAAAACATTGGTTTGGTTTAGTTCAGATTTTATATTAAATTGAAACCAAACCAAATTGAACTTCTTTAATTTTATATTTGATTCAGGTGATTATTTAATGCAAAGCCAACCCAAATTAAACCCATTCACAAACGCCCTTAGCATATCTACCCCATGTGCAAGTGTTTGCAAGAGCAAAAACTAAAAATTTAACAACATTATATAAAGATTAAGTTGTTAATGTAGAGAATAGTGCTATGTATTGAGTGGATGGAGCTATATCATGTTGATTTTAATTTCTGCATATTTTAGGGATCCAGATTAAAAATTAGGATGCATAACAAAGAGTTCTTTATTTAATTGGTTTTGGAGATATTATAATATTCTATATATAAAGGGGGAAAGCATGTTCCCCTGAATGGTTGCTTTTCTCACTTTCCATCAAGGTTTGCTTTTATCTATTGTGATATAGTATACACATTTTAATTCATCTATATTTTGTATCCATATCCTTATATATCATGTTTTAAATGAGGCAATGAGCTAATTTTGGTTAATTCAGAAGCTTAAGAATCCTATTTTTTATTTCTTACAAAAATTTAGGACTTTCGCAGGATTTATATATTTGCTAGAGATGTTTGAGCAACTTTGAAAAGCTGTTTCTACAATTTGTTCTGGTAAGAAAAAAAGACAACCCAAATGCCAACTATAAGATGAATATGTAGGATAAAATTATTTTGGTGCTAGGATCTGATGATCTGGAGGCATAACTAAGAAAACATGAACTTTATATCATTAGCTAATTTTTTTTTCTCATAGTTGGCTTGCAAAGATGAAAAGCCAGAAAAGGAAGGTTAAAGATCTCTACTTTTTGGAGTGGTCCAACATGACGGATATAACATGGTAAGGACACTGAGGCGATCAGGGAAATTGAATCCTCTGATCATGGTTTTTTTTATAGACTAATTTAATACTGAAACTGCATCATTAGATCCTAGCTCCAAAGTAACTCCATCCAACATAACCATCTTTCTTTAGTTCCCTTAATGGGTCAAAGCATTTCCATGGGCCCCACCATGGCTGGAACTTTGTAGCACCAAGTTACCCTTTTTGTTTAGTACCCACATTTGCAGATCCTGATAAATCAATTGTCGGCTGTATCTCAAATGCATCTGGCCTTTGAAACAAAGAGGCACCACAGCGCTTTTCTTTCCTAAGAAATATCCTTTCAGTTTTTCCAGATAACTGTGACTCGTGTAACATCAACTGACAACAGTAAATTTTATGCGGAATTTACTGGTTCATATGACTTTGACTTTTAATTAGTTGGTAACTTCCAGTGGTATGAGTGTATGCAACAACTTTTTAATACATAATGGATGGTCTGACGGAAGAGACGATAGTGAAAATGAATAATGCTTTTTGTGATTTAAGTTGTACTGATTTTTGCAAATGCGTATGTGTATGAAATTGTTAGGTTTGTAAATTAAATCTAGGGTTTGTAAACTAAACTATGCTATGTTAGTTTGAACATTCTCCAGCCTTTTGAAACTGGAATTGAGAAATCTAAATTGAACTTGATAAAAATGTAAATGAACTAACCTCAACTGTCTGTTCAACAAGCAAATTGTCGTGTATCAGCCTTGTACGTTGAAGTTAAGAGACTTACTAAAATATTAGTCCTAAAGAATGATTTGAAGACTTTTAATAACAATATCTGTAAAACCTGTTTCAACAAGTAAATTGTCATGAATCAGCCTTGTAGGGTGAAAGTGACTTTTTGAAAGATTTTAGACCTACAAAATCATTCTTGATTTCATATAACCACAGCCCAAAAACTTGAATTTTGTCTCGTATCATGCCTTCTGAAAGATACTAGGTGGTTATATAAGGTAATTAAAGAATGTTAGGAACCAAGAATTGGAATGAGAAAGAAAAGAAATAGTTTATTGAATAGAAGACAAACATCTCCTCCAAGAGTTTCCCCTTCACTAATGGTGCTAAGGTTCAATTTACAATGACAACAAATCTAAATCTCTCCTTCTATTCTTCTTCCTGTATTGATACCTAATTAACAACCCCTCTAACTTTCCTAACTAACTCCCCCTTTTCATAGTCCTAATATAGAATAATAATAGCTTTGCTTCTTTTGAACCTGGTTGTTGGAAATTTTCTCTCAAGCCTTACAGATTTAGTTAATCTATTGCCTTTTCCTCAAGATCAAAGGGAATTTCTGGAAATTATACAGTCCTGCAAGAGTATTCAGAATATTTGAATGTATAAGATGGCACAAGCGAATTGAATGAGCCAGTTTCAACACTAAAGTCTTTTTCTCTATTTTTGTGGCTCCTAGGGAGTGGAGAAAAACATGGACTTTATTGACTGTGGATGAAAAAATGCTACCTGTTGATTGATGGAGGGATATGTGAACATTCTACTCTGTTGTAAAGTGTAGAAAAAAATGCTTATAGTAAATTGCAAGAATTAATGAAACAAATGCTTGTAGTAAATTGAATTTTTTTTATTAATATGGTAAATGATTATAAATGTGTAAATGGGTAAAAACTACCTAAATGTAATATAGAAAGTGTTGATAGAGACCATACATGAGGGGGAAAGAGAGATTGAAGACAAAGCAAGAAGAGTGAAGATTATAACAGGTGAGATGCAACTTGAACTTCAAAATGCAGGTATAATTGTTAATGAGTATACTATTTAGTTTTGGGTAATTCTCCAGCTTTGGTTCTTTAAGCATGGTTAAGGGCCTTTCTGATTTGACGAGTCTTAGCTTATATGGTCCCTTCCCTGCTCTTAATGATTAGGGACCTACTGTTGGTTGGTAGGTTTGATCCCTGTTAATTCCATTTTCCCATGCCTCTTCCCTAGTCTCATAAATACAGAAAATATACCTCTCAGGTGATGCTTTATTGTTTTTAACCTAGGTTATGAATAATATTTTCCCACTTGTAGGAGTGGGGATAGGTAAAACATCTTATACTAAAATGTGGAATTGTAGGCTTCTGCTTTTGATTATGTGTTCCTGTATATTTTGCGTTGTTAACATGACACTTTGTAAAAGGCTATTTGGAGTTTTTCTCTGCATAATCCTTCTACCATTTGAGAGTTCTGTGGGGATATTTTTTGATGGAAAATAATGAATGGGAAACAAGTTAGATGGAGAAATTTTGTTTCTGGTTATGCACTGCTTGTAGTATTTTACTGTGCTTACAGAAATGCTAAAATTTTGTAGTTCGTGTTTACTATTACATTTGCTTTGAGAAAATTTAAGATATGTTTGGGGATCTAGTGGTGGGGTGGCCAAAGTATGTTGGTCGAAGGAAGTGAAGTGTATCTTTTTGAGTAAAAGGTACTTTCAAAGTGTTTGGAATGGATTTCCAAACATGCACTTTTAACATGTTCATTCTCCTGAAATGCCAAAAGATGATCCTCATTACAAAGACAAACAATAGGAGCAATATTATCTCCCTTGTCTGCTATTTCTCCATTGATAACTCTTATTGTGATAATGGAATGAAATCCTTAGCATTTAAACGTGTATCAGTTACTTAACAGGACCTTTTTAATATTTCTGTTTGACAGCAAAATTCTCATGATCCAAAGTTTGGCAATCAGGAAAATGAAAAAAATGTCTCAGATACAGCTTATTCTGACAAAACCCAGAAAGGTCAATCTGGTTCGAAGATGATAAATGAGCCCGAAAAAAATTCATATCCAGTTTCGTCTGCTGACCTACCCCATTCAAAACCAAGAGTTCACTCAGAGGATCCATTTGGAAAGGGATCAGTGAGATCCACATATGAGTTACAAAAGAGCAGGGACAATGGTGATGCTAAACATTTCACTGAGTCTCCAGCTCGCCATGACAATGGTAGCCATGTGAGGGGCACTGATTCCGTGCATCGAGGCCAGGGAGTAGGTTCCGCTGACAACAGTAGAAAACCTTCAAGACAAACTATTGGATCGGAACACAACATTGACCGTTCACCCCTTCATCGCCAGGCAAAAACCCCTGGCAGGGATAGTCCTTCATGGGAAGTAAAGAATTCATATGACACCAGCCAAGTTACCCCAGGAAGGTCCCGGTTAAGACCATCTAACCGAGGGGATGAAACTGTAAGTTTTCTATTCTCTTGTTTATGACCGTGTGTGGCAAGAAATGTAAAAATCATGAATATTGAAAATCTCTAAGGTTTGATTTAGGAATCTTAATTAGACATTCCTTGGAAAATAATTTCTAATCTGTAGCTTTCTGATTTGGCAGCCTGATAAAGGTGCCGCGGTTCCAAAATTTGGTGAGTGGGACGAGAGCAACCCTGCATCAGCTGATGGCTACACTCATATTTTCAACAGAGTGCGGGAGGAGAAGCAGGTGGGGACTGGACATGTGCCAGGCACACCTAATGCTAGACAATATGGTGTGCGGAATCAGCCTGCTGATGAGAAAGCTCAGGTATGCCTGCAAAAGCTGTTTAATGTTTATACAGTATATTCATCTGTAACTTTGGAGTTTTCATCTTACTGATATTTCATTGCTTCTCTCTGTTTTTATCCTTGCTTCTTCAGAGTTGCTGCTTTTGCTGGGGGAAAAAATGATTTGTGTGAAAGTATAAATTATAATCTGAAGAGAAAAGATAGGGTTGTGAATGAACATAAGGTGTGTCTTGCACTTGTAAATATTCAAGGCACTCTCTTCCCAGGAAAATATTCTAGACGTATGTCTTAAATCTGTGTCTTCCCCTTTCTCTGTATTTCTTTTGGTCAGTAAAGACACCGAATGCAAGATTGTGACTTGTCCCTTTTAATCTTATGTTATGTAACTGCCACGCTTTATATAATTCAATTTTCTGTATTTAGGTGGGATATACAAGATTTCTTATACAATTCTTTTACAATGATTAATGGGTTGTGATTTTAGTCCTATTGTGTTGATCACCTGCAGCATAACACAAATTGATCATACTCAATAACAAACTTCCAGAAATAGATTTCTTGGTCTTTGTGACTTATGATGTAGGTTCTAAAATGAGTCCGTATAAAATCATACTCAATAACATTAATGTTTTCTAATTTTTGGGAGAAAGATCACCTTGACATTGATATTAAAATCACTAATCTTGTTAAATGATTAATTTTTATGGCTAAATCCGACTGAATACTTTTAGTGAGACTTTTTCACTCAACTTAGTCATTCCTACATAATTTGAATCCAATAATTTGAATTTCCGTTCAAATTAATAGTATGTTGATAAAAGAAATTCCTATTTCAATTCTTATGTATACTACTTTTAATCTTTGCCACAAAAATATAATGTCTTTACAGACTAAGGTTTTTGTATCTACAAAGACTCAAGTTTTTGTAAACTTCCTTTCCAGTGGCCTTCGAGGCTTATTGTCAAGGTTCTCAATAACAAGATTCTCAACCTACACGAGTCAAATTCTAACATTGATTAAAAATAAGCCCGTAATCAAGATGCCCCCTTTACAAAGTGTACCATGCCGAATTTTATAAGCCATATTGGCTTAGCATTAATATTCCTATAATCTCTGTTTTCACCAAGAGTACGAAACTTAAACCAAACACATTATATTGATAGATCAATAACATCAACCAGGTTATACGCGGTTTTATTTATTTTGTCTCATCACAATCACAGTCAAGCAATGCACTTTGCATAATGCGACTTTGAAGGATATTATGATGTATTATTCAAATTCCAACCTCGTACTGCACCAAATTAATTGTCGTTAGATTATGCATAACACCAACACAATACAACATTACAAAATGGTTGATATCTCTAAAATATGTGGTTATACATCATGCAATGAATAATATTACTCATTTCCTGATTAGTTTATATCCCAAGGCAAGATTGATCCATTAGGCAAACATTTTCTTCCATTCAGATTAGTAAACAATTTGTCCACATTTAAGCACTCCAAATCTGCTTTTCTCATCATCACCAAGAAAAGAACTATAATACCTGGTACTTATCCCTAAGTGAATTCAATGTCATTAGTCATGTTCCTTGAGATCATAGAATAAGCTTAGCTATTATGCTCATATGTGTATTTTCACTGTCATCTTAAATGATGATCTCAAACTCAGGCAACCCGTCGCTTTCAACTGTACTGTAATGATCTCAAAATATGAACTAACAAGAAGCTAAATAGTAGGTACAAAACTTTACAGAAACCTTTAATTACCTGCTTGTGTTTATGCTGTAAAATTGTCAAGCTTGTTTAACCTCAGTTTCATAGCAGATACTGATTTAAATACCTTGCAACCTCACCCCTTGTAATTAGGATTTAACACCTTTTTACTTCGTGTAAAAGTGACTATATTTCATTATCAACAAGACGCAAATAAAACCTTATAAAGTATATGTTAGGATATAGGGTATTTGGATATAATGGGAAAGGGGATTAGGACAGAAGGCACAGGAATTGTATAAATAGATTGATTGGATAGTTAGAAGACAGTTTTTGGGTAGTTAATTTGTTAACAGGCTTTGTCCTGTGAAAGGGGTTATGCCCTTGTTTCTGTAAGTGTCCAGAGTATTCTTTTGTGAATAATACACAGTTTTGTTCCCATTCTTGTTATCTTTCTGTTCTGAGAGGTGGTTTAGAGGGATCTTGATTAGGTTTCTTAATCGGAAACCTATCAGTATAACAGCCTTAAACCATCATGACCTGGCTCCAATGAGGTGTTTTTCCACTTTCTGTCAGGTCGGCCAGCAGGTGGAGAAAGTTTCATCTGCTGAAAATGAGAAAAACATTAGAGGCATCAAATTTAAGGAAAGAAGACTAACTGATACATTTAAGATATATTGTTATTTGGTAATTTTCAGCAATACCACGCTTATTGCTTGTCTGAAACTCGGAGCTTATCTACTTTCCCGGTATCATACCAATTACAAAGAACAATTTTTAGTTCTTTGAGTACAACCTAACATCTGTTAAGCAGCTTCACTTAAGTTCCAAAAGCTTTTAAGGTGAATTTGATATGATATCAAATGCTATAACTCATATTAATAAATTTCTATTCTGATAAGTTCGCAGGTTCCAGTAGGCATATATAGAGGTGGTATTGCAAGTATTACATTGTTTGCCTCACTTCTTAAAATGCACCTTATTGGTTAGACAACTTTACTTAATATATTGGTCATATGTTAATTAAAATAACTGTATAAATCTTCAAAATCAAAATAATAACAATGTGAGCTGCTTCTGCAAAGCAGTAGCAGAAAGGACCATAAAATGTTATAGTTCTAGCTCATGCAAATATGATAGATATCCAATACAAAATTCATTTTAAGAAAACACAAGATATGATAATGTAAGATACATATCTACAAATATATAAATTCATAAAACATACTAAATGAATAATTGCGATTCTGCAAATTAAAATAAAGAACATAACGAACAAGTAATTACAATATGTAATCTAAAGAACCTCTAGGCAACTAGAAACAGCTGCCTTTCTTCCAGAGCACAAACTTCCCGAAATAAGAAAACATTGATAAAACAATATAAAATTATATAAATGGTCTCTCATGACTCTCAGCATATATTACGACAATGAGTAAAACTCCAGTTCCAGCAGGTCTGTCTCTCATTATAACCACCAAAGTCAAACCTTGTTAACAAGTTCAATTTGGGGTAGAGAGCTTAGCAAGACTAGAAACAAAAAATGTTCCAATGTAAAAAACAAAGAAAATCTACCACTTGAAATGTGAATTATATCCATGAAAATCTCCCAGTTTCAATTCAACGTTACATCAAATTGGAATAAAGAATTTGTTTACATGAAAGTGTCTACTTTTCATTTTTACTATACCATTTTGCTACAGTGTATAAAGACAAGTGGACTTACGTAGTGTACCATGTAAACTCAAGATTGCAAAAAAAATGGATCAGAAATACTCTTTGGCATTGTCACTTTTTAAGATTTTAATTATTTGAACAAATTGATTCTTGACTTCGTTCAAAACGGATGTGAAAAATGAGTAACAATTTAGAACTATTTTTTCGTAAGATAAATTCAAGTACATCTTGAATACTCAAATATAACAAAATACCTAAAATCAAAAGATAAGACACAATTAGGTCCCAAATATCGGAATGGATAATAGAGAAACTAAAATTACATTTTGATTGAGACCTTTTAGGAAAGATAGATCTAACATGTTTTCCTAATTGACATAAGGTCGAAAAACCACTAAGTTCAGGATACATTTTATTTTTAATTGACAAATGAGGAAAGTCAAAAGTTAGATCCACTTCAGTGGTAATATCACTGCACAAGATACATAAAGATTCTAAATAATTTAAATGGGAGATGATCCTCTCCGATGAAAAAAATGACATGATTCAATACAATAATTAATGGAACCATTGAATTTTTCAATTTTTATTTTATAAAAAAAACTATTAAACTGATAAAATTTAATCAAAGGTTAGATCCACTTCAGTGGTAATGTCACTGCACAAGATACATTTCCAATTTAAATGAAAATTTGTATTCTATAACTATCTATAGCAACGGCAGGCATAACTCCTGTGACAGATACTAAATTTTTCGGATAAGCATAAATTACTTTTGAATTGTAATATTTACTTTTGCCACTTAAGAAATCAGCAGAGAGCAAGACGGGTAAGGACATTAAAATTAAAACCATATTAAAACAATACTTTTAAATAGGAAACGAGATAATTGGCTAATTGAATTGTTTTCAAATGATTACTTTAACAACATGTTGGAGTTTTGCAGTGGATAGCAGATCCATAACAATTTCAGGGATTTATATTTTCCCATGAGGAAGGTACCATGACATTCATGGAAACTGATGCATGGCATCAGAGATTGAAATCAATCTATTCAGCCTAAGTACAGGATTCGGACAACAAATTATATTTGTGAGCATGACAAGAAAACAGTAACCAATTCCTAACTCTAACCAAAATATCGAGGGAAAATTGATAAAACAAACAACCCAGCATAAGAAAACAACACAAGCAAGATAAAAACAGAATCATGAATGAAGGCATAGGTGACAACACACTTGATGGTTCTTATCTTGGAGCTTCCTTTCTCCATTCTGTTTGTCCCTGGTTTATCTCAAGTCTATCAGCAGACAAAGTAGATGCAAAAACTGGGGATTGGCTTTCTTTGCAATGATAGATCCATTTGTTGCTTTCAGTTCTGGAACTGCCTCAGCATCACCCTGGATCATTTCCATACCAGTGACGAATCAACTACGTCATATTGTCTGCACTCTCATAGGTAATACAAGGTAATACTCTGCAACTCATGGCTATCAATGATTTCCTGGGGCATGCTCTGACATAACAAGTCCGTAAGTTAGTTGGTGGCATCAAGAACATACAACATCTTTTTTTCGTATAAAATTAACATTACATAGTATGGACCTTCGTAAGCAAGTTCAACTTCAGGTAGAAAGCACAGAAATACTGCAACACAAATTTAAAAATGCAGCACTAGATATGTGAACTTCATCGATATCGTACTTTCAATTCAATATTGCAATGGTACATCTAATTTGGAATAGAACAGTAGTTACATTAAAATGTCAAGGTAACATTTGAGGAAACAGGTAAGAAAAGTCAAATGAATATGCTATAACTCACAATACAATTAACTAAGAAAAGAGTCATGTCTTGGTGCAATATCAACCACTGCACATCACTTATTGCTAATCTCAGTCCCAGGCACAGCAATCAGAGAAGTTCCTCAAAGAACTAATTCTAATAAGAAATCCAGCAGTTTCACAGCTTCTCAATCAACCTAACCATGAAAGAATTCACAGCTGAAGCATCCAGAAGAATCCAAGATGATTCAAATAACTCATGGAAGAACTCAGTTCCAATCTCCTCTGCAGCAGTCCTAAATGCAA